AGACCTCTCCGCCTCATTTTCAGCCCTTGTGTGAATCAGCACAGGCTAAGCGCCTTAGTATGGTCTACAGCATTAGCTTTCTAATCAGGCTCTTGACAGGAAGGAACAAATAACTAGAAGAAGAAATAAGTTTTTGCGAAAATAATAATAGCACACAATCTATTATTAAACTACAATGAAAAAAATCTAAAAAAAATATGAAATTTTACCAAAAGTGAAAGAGAGAGAGATTCAACATTTAGATCTCCGACTTTAAAACTGTGGTATCCTGGAAGAATTCTTATATTCCTTATCTATCCCCCACTTGACCACCCATAAGATAGCACACTGGTACAAACAAATAATTACCACAGAACAAGCCAAAAGCAAACAAAACGAATTTAGTCATGTAAATACAGGTCTGTTATTCATTTGTTTTGCTATGACTAAATTATCAGTCTTTGATTAGAAACTCATCATGAAGACTTCAGATAAATTCCATACCCTCAAACTTGAGTTTTGCTTTGGTAAGAGAAATTTCCCTACTTCATAACAAAGTTAATCTTTTGTTTACCAAACAAATAGAATTTGACAGTGGTGGGGTATGAGTGATGGGGGACTTTCATGAGGATTTCAACTTTTTCTCCATAACCCAATCCATCCACTCCACTTTTCCTGGCTTACTGGGCATTAATGTACTAGCTCATACAAGCCATGCTTTTCAAAAAAAAAAGGGAGAAGAAAATTCAGGAGTACCCTGCTTAGTTTTTAACTTCCAAAGCAGTTGGTCTCAGCAGAAAATGACATAGCAAGAGAAAATTCCTGATACTGTCTGAAGAGACAAAAGTAAATATTTATCCTTCCTCAAAATTATTTTCCCAGTTTTTTTTCTCATTTTTAATACAGTCCTATGTCACAAAGTGTTCCTGTTGGTGAAACATTACATATAAAAAGAACTAGGTTATGTTTATGTTAAATTACAGAGTGAAATTCAATTTGATATAGGAAAAAAAAAAGAAAATTTGGGTACAGTCTTGAAGGGAAAATTTCTGCACTGTATTTATTTTAGAAAGAGGCAATTTGTCAAAAGGCAGCAGAGAGACTGTCCACTCTTGCTGCCCGGCCCCTATGACCCACTGCAGCTTGGGGGAAGCTGATCTTTAGCCACACTTCCAGGAATCAGCACATATCTCAGGCAACCATTCTCTTAGGGGACTGGGTGAAAAATGAGCATATATCATGCTCACCTGCACCTGTGGTGTGAAGTATCCTAGTAACTATCATTTGTTTTGTCTTAAATTAGAATGCAGTGTAATACTGTCCACCTCACAGATAGTAATTTTTTTATTGTGAGTCACCTAAATGAATAGGAAGGAGACTTAAACTTCAGCTTACTTTTATTTTTATTTTTTTATTATAGTGCTGGGTGGGGGTACATTGTTACTTTTACAAAGATTCTTAGATGTATCATATATATCATACTTGAATTCATACTGCTTTCCTTCATCCCCCCTCTCCTGATTCCTGGAACAGTTTCAACAGATATCATTTTTGCATTTACATTCATGTGCACGCATTATTTGCACCTTATTCATCCCCTCCCCCATTCCCTGCTACCTCTCAATCCTACCAGTGTCTACTCCCGCCCCCACTCCAGGAGAGCCTGTTCTGTCCCCGTTCTCCAATTTTGTAGAAGAAAAAACATAAAAGAGAAAAAGAGAAACGTGGTGTTTTTGCTAGTTTGAAATTGAGGATATCTCTACAAATAATATTTTAACCACAAATCAATCTTTTATAAAATTTCATGCATGAAGTAACTTCTAATATGGTAGCCACTATTCACTGAATGAACTAATGCATATTTATTGAGAGTATCCTATCTATGATTTTTAAAAAGGACTAGAGTGAGAACACTGCTGAACAAAATGACAAGGCAGGTAAAAGATGGATGTGCATTGAGCCAAACGGTCAAGGGACTATGTGTTCACCACTCATGTGTGGCTCAGGAACAGAAATGGCTGGCAAAATAATTCAGATCACAAGCACAAAAGGCCCTGCTAATGAATAAGAGGATACAAATTTATTGAGACTGCATCAAAATGGTATAAGACAAGCACAAAAATGGATCACATGGTAGGGGAAAAAAAAAGAAAAGAGGGAAAATAAAAATTGTAGAGCTAGACTTAAACATAGCAAAAAAAAAAAAAAAAAGACAAGGAGCACCTGTGTGTATCTGGTAGCAATGGGCAAGATAGATAGCCTTGGGTTAGAGAGGAGGAGAGATACCAAGTGAAGATCTGGGATCTGGAACCTTGACTTACTGGTAAGGTGAAGTGTGGGACTAGAGTGGTGGACATCAAAACAAATTCAAGAGGAATTTAAAGAACCAGACACAGGCATGCTAACAACCCTCAAGTTCATAAAATGGAAAATAAGATTAGGAGTCATCCACCAGACATTGCCATAGTCAAATGGAAATAAGTCTTCAAGAAAATCAATGCATCATGATAAGGAGAGTACACAAATATGTGAAGTGGACTTATCTGGAGGAAGTGTGCTATAGAAAATAACTCAACAGGGTACCAGGGAATAAGAAGAGAGCGAGGCAAAGCCTACTAGATGGAGAAAATGGAGCATCACCTTCAGAAGCCAGGCTGCAAGTATGACAAGAAGACAGGGAGGAAGGAAAAATAGCAGGCATTTGTTCACTATGGATTCAAGACCTACAAAGGATATGGGAAACTGTATGTAGAGGTGCACATCCGTAATCTCAGCATTCAGGAGGCTGAGGCAGGAGGATCATGATATTGGGGCCAGCTTGGACTGCATGGTGAGACCCTGTCTCAAAAAATTAAAAAGGGAAAAAGAAAAAAAAGGTATGGGAAAGACAAGCGGTATGAGAAAGAAACAGTGTTGTGATATGGAGGGACTAGGGAGATCTAATGCAATAGCATACAAATACACATACATATGTACGCATACATGTATATTATATGCATGTATGTATATGTGTGTATGTATATATATATTAGGTATGTGTGTACACACATACACATACAATTAAATTTACATCACTGAATAACTTAAGGTTTACTGGGGGTGTGGTATAAGGTTAACAATTAAAACTGGACTGTTACAACATGGCTCCATTAAACTATCAAGAAGAGGAGTAAGGGAGCTCTTCCTGAGCCTGACACTGGGAGAGTAAGTGAAAGAAAGGGATACTCTTAAATGTCTACTCAGCAACTGTGGCCAGAGAGACAGCAAAGGTGGAAATGAGTGTGGATGGCAAAGAAGAGGAGCACAAACACAGGGAGGCTTGGTTTGCAAAGATGACACAGAGAGCTTGTTCATCATGCAGCTTGCGCCAGGTTGACACGGGGAAGAATAGGGATGGCTCAGTGGTGCAGAGATGACATGCAAATAGGCAGCTCTCCTCACACACATCCCACCCAGATTGTATTCAATCTGCCTGTTACTATTACAATGCATTTGATAACAAAAACACAATGGAAAGCAAAATAAATTAAATTTACAAATATAACTTTTAAAACTATCATATAATTCTGGACATTTCCAAAGAGGAAAAGCACTCATAAGCATATTACATTATTTGAAAAAAAGCCTGGCTACGAGTTTAATATGAATTATGGCAAGAATAGGTCCAGTACATGATTTCCCTGTATGATTTATTTCAGGCAGACCCTGGTGTTCAGAAATGGGAAACTGAACAAATGTCATGTCTAATCAGTAGTTTCAAGAGGCCAGGTCTTGTAAGCAAATGTAAAAAGCGAAAGAAAAGGAACCTACAAACCATGTGATTACCTTAAACAATTTAATAAAATTCCAAAGCTAAGCCTGAGGTTCAAGTCTGTAATCCCAGAAACCTGGGAGCAGAGGCAAGAGAATTATGAGTTTGAGTTTGGGGACAGCCTGAGCAAAGCTAGTGAGATACAATTTCAAAATCAAAAACTACAAAAAATGGAAGTGCTGGAGGCATAGCTCAAATGGTGGAGGGCTTCTCAAGCATGTGCAAGACCCTGAGTTCAAGCCTCAGAACAGAAGGGGTAGGGAAAAAAAAAAAAAAAACTAATCAAACCCTTTGCTGTTTTTAGTTTGTTTATTCGCAACTGATCAGCCCTATAAACAAGAGGAAAATTACTACATTTTATCAAGCAAAAAAAGTCATTTTATAACATGTAGCTACACAATCAAAATGAAAACAATAAGGACAAAAAGTGAACTGAATAAAGCCAAGTAAACAAAATAGAGTCACTGAATGGTAACCGGTGTGTCCAAGTACTGGCTCTGAAAGTTGAAGAACTTGAGGAAATGAAGTCTACAATCTTTGACCTAATGAACTTCCTTCAGTTAAAGAGACAGGGAGCAACAAAAGGCAGAGGGGCAAAGGGAGAAATGTAATCTGAGTTTTTCAATAAAGACTCTACCTTTAGCAAAATAAACAATAAAACCTGAACATGATCGTGTCATTGCATCAACAGTCATTGGAAGAATCACTGCTGCAGCTGTTCTTTCAGACTTTTAAAAAAAATTATATACACCCATTTTTTTCTGCATTGATAGGCGCAATCCCTTCACCAACTTCTAAATTTTAAACAAGAAATGTAAATGAGAGCAAAAGAAACAACCATTTCTCAGATGGAAATGAGTTGATCAGCATCACCTGTCATGACCTGAGCTCACCTAACTCCAGAGCTGTGGCTTCTTGGTCTTGGCTTATTTCGTAGGTACTGGACTTCTGACTCAAATACATTAATGGATTCTTTGTCCACTGTTATTTTTTGGCTTTCAGACACTCAGTACATTTAGGGCCCTGACAGATGCCTTACAGTTACTATTTTTGATTTTTTTTGTTTGCTTTTGCTGTTCGAGTTATTCAAGCCCCAAACTCTAATTAGGACCCACTTTGACATGTACTTTCTATGTTATCTTAATAATATGCCCACGAGCTCTCCACAAAAGAAGTGATTAATCTATAAACAAAGGAAACATTGTCCTACCTGACAAGACCACTTCAATAAGATCTCCTTCCTGGATATCACTAGCCGTTTTCACCAGCTGAAGGATGTTTTCAGAGGTAGGGTCGTGGCGAAAAAGCAGGATCTTATCATACATTCCATAGAAACCACATTCAGGGAACTGCAAATACAAATACCACAACGATATTAAATGTCAAAATTTTCCTAAATAATTTGCTTTAAATAGAAACAAAATAAATAAACGTCAAGGCACAAATAAAAGATAATTTACAAAATTCAAAGAATCTAGAACATCCAACTTTTAAACAAATGACCAGCAGAGTTTATAGTGACAAGACACCATTAACAGGGAAAAAATTATATATATAAAAGGCAATAAAGACCAAGTGGATTTCTTATTCATGAATAAAACAGAATATGAAATAAAACGCAAGGAGGTTTCAACAGCAACACAGTTAAGAAATATAAAGGGCAGGAAGAAGCATGCATTTTCGCAGCCTATAGAAAACAATGGCATAAAAATTGGAAATTTTTATTGCACATAATTGTGGCAATAGGTTGGCAAAAAATGAGATCAGTATGTTTTTGCATATTCAACAAAATAAGACATGATTCAACAAATCTAAGTGCATTGTGGGGCTGGGCAAAAGCAGTGTCTGGATCCTTTAATGCAGGAGAGGGAGAAAAGCCAGGGAAGCACCCAGGTCTCCCTCCTTCTGCTACTGCCCTCACCACACTGCATGTCTTTCTCCTGCAGCCTTTTGACCTAAGTCCCTCCTGTAGTGCAAAGGCCCATCACCCAAGCATGGAAAATTTTCCTTAAAACAAACAACATAGGCTAATTTGACATGTGGAAAAGGCTCCTTTCTTGTATATGACTTTCTCATAAAATTACTGAAAATTGTAACATATTTATTTTTATGAACTGATGTCTCTCATGTAGTGGGAAAGTCAAAAGGTAGGGAAAGAGAACATTTTCTTTCTTGATCCTGAAATTGGTGATGTGTCTAACACTTAGGTCAAACTATGTGAACTTTCTTCTATTCTCAGGAAGAAATGTCCCAAATCTGATACTTTATAAAGATAAATGCAACATATGGTAAATTCCTCTTTCTTTTTACTTATTCGTAAAATTAGGGCTACATTCAAGTGAGCCTTTTTCTATGAATTAAAAATAAATATATTCAGAACATTCTTTCGCTCTTGAGAATCTATGCTGATGACTAGGCTCAAAAGTACTTCTGCATCTCACTTATTAAAGTTGACTTTACTAAAATAAAGACAACAGCTGAAATGATGTCACTGCTTCCACTGTGCTAATTTGAAAAAATTAGCTCATTTTTTCTTCAATATTATTAGAGCACATGAAAACAAAGGGAAAACTAAAGCACTATTTTCCACAATCTTAAAAAGAATGAAAAATTTGTGGACTATTTTAAAAAATCAACTTCACTGAAGAGTAATTTACATGAAATAAAATAACTGCATAAGTCTATGAGTTTTGATGAACATCAATATCCATGCAGCCAAAATGACAATCAAGCCATAAAACATTTTCATCATCCCCCAAAGTTTTACTGTCATTGATGGCACCCAGAATCTTAATCCCAGGTACAAATCTACTTACTTTCTGTCACCATAGATTAGCTTGTCTGCCATAGCATTTCACACAAATAATATCATGCAGTATATTTCATGTACACACACACATATATATATGTATGTGCATATACATATACACACATACACAAAGTATCAGTATTACTTATTAGCATTTCATTTAATGGATCCATGGATCTAGCATAATTGGACCATTCACCAACAAATGCATATTTATTTTTATCCCAAGTCCTGGCCACTACAAATAAAAGTAAAATTTTATGAATATTTATGCACAAGCATTTCAGTGGGCCTATGTTCTCATTTCTCATGGGTAAAGACCTGGAAGCAGCATTGCTGGGTCATAATAGAAGTGTATGTTTGATCGTCATGTCTGTTCTCATGCCAGCACCATGTTATACTCATCACGTAGCTTTACACTAAGCCTGGAATTCAGGTAGTGTGAGCCCTCCACTTTTCCTTTTCAACGTTATTTTGGATATTATATGCTCTGTGAATTTCTATATGTACTTCAGATAGACTTTTCCAGAAAGAATCACTTTGGTGTGATTTCGTAATGATATTACATTGAAAAATAGACAAATTTGGGAGAAATATTTTAAAAATAGAGAATTCTAATTAACTATGAACAAGACACAGCTCTTAGTTAGGTTCTTTTGGATTAGTCTTAACGATGTTTTATAGTTTTCACTGTATAGGCCTTAGGCATATTTACTAAACTAATCTATTAGGTATTTAATATTTTTATGCTATTGTAAATGTTACACTATAACTAACATGCAATAAAATTCAACCATTTAGTGGGAATTTTACAAATTTTGAAAAATGTATATGCTAACCACAAGCAATATATATACAATATTATAAATATATTATAGATTATAAAAAGTACAGCCAAGATGTAGAACAGTTTGACCACTCCAAAAACTTTCTCCATGTCAAGGAAAGTGGTCAACCATTCCCTTGGCACCCTGCTTTCCCCTACTTCAGGCAACTATTTTCGGTCTGGATAATTTGACCTTTTCAAGAATGTCAGATAAGTGGGATAATAGGATACATAATTTTCAGTCTGGCTTTTGTCACTTAGCATAATTAATTTGAAAATTATCCATGTTATTTCAATGCCATCAGTGGATTTCTTTTTATTGGTGAGGAGTTCCACTGTATTAGATAAATGCACAACAATGGATGTTCCGTTCCTCAACTCAGGGGCATCTGAGTTAGTTCTAGTTTTTGATGATTACAAATAAAGGTGCTATAAGTAGTCACATAGGGGTTTGGGTATGGGTGTAAGTTTTAATTTTTCTGCCTATGGCAAGTATGTGGATAAATCTGTAAGAAATTGCCAAGCCATGTCGAAAGTGACTATTTTATTTCACAATCCCCCCAGCAATGTATGAGCAGTACAGTTTCTCTGCATCCCTGACAGCACTCAGTTGTTTTGGTTTCAGACATTCTAATAAGTGCATAATGGCATCTCATAGTTTTTTTTTTCATTTTCCTAATTAATAATTATGTTCAGCACCTTGTCAAGTATTTCTTTGCCACACACAAATACACCCAAACTGATCAATTCTTTGCTCATGTTTTATACTGAATTATTTCTTATTGCCAGATTTTGAGAAATCTTCACATATTCTTGCTGCAAGTTTTTTATTAGATACATGTTTCAGAGATATTTTCTTCTACTTTTATCTCTTCATTTCCTTATCATTGCTTTCTTAAGTTCTTAATTTATATTGTTTTTAATTTATAGTTATCTACCAAGTATTCCTTTGTTAAGTATCTTATAAATCTTTGCATAACATAATGTAACACAGGTTTTTCTCCTAAGTATTATTCAACAAATTTTGTTTGAAGGGTTTATATTTAGGTCTTTGACCACTTTCAGTTAATTTTTGAATAGGGAAAAATATGGATGAAGGGGCTAGAGATGTGGCTCAAGCAGTAGAGTATCTGCATCACAAATGTGAAGCCCTGAAATCAAACCCCAGTACCACCAAAAAAAAAATGTATCTATACACATATGTATATATAATTTTACATATATGTGTATATATACACACAAAAACAGACATGCATACATTCCTTTATTGAAAGGATTAAAACTTCATGTTCAATGTTCTAGTCAATGTAGTGCTGTTTAGATTTCAATTTTCTTTTCAGAGAGCTTTGGGAGTTTGATCCTTTCAAGAAAAGTATTTTATCCACATTGTCAATTACAGGCTTAAAGCTGCCCAGAGTATTCCACCATTACCCTTTTAAAGTCTATGAGGCTTGTACTGATGTCTCTTTATTAATTTCTTGTATTTATAATTTGTTTGAATTTGAATTTAACTTGTCCCTGCTCGTATGTTTGAGACTCAGTCCTCAAGTGTAGTGGTGGCAAAATGGTAGGACCTATAAAAATGGTGACATAGGACAGAGGAGCTGACCTCGGTGTACTAAATGGGTTCTATCATGAGATTAGAAGAGGAAGCGCTACAGCTGAACCTACGTGGCTTCCTGTTTTGAGATGTGATCTCAGTTTCCACAAATGCTCCTGTGAGGTCATATAGTTGGGGGAATTGCCAGAGCTAGGGCTTTGCCATTTTAAGTTTAAGCCTCCAAAACTGTGAGTTAAGTAAATCTCTTTTCTTAATCAAGTTATGAAGCCTCAGGTACTTCATTATGGTCACAAAAATGTACTAATAAAATGTCTTTCTATTGCATGTTCAATCTGGGCAAGACATTTGTCAATATTATTTTTTTCCCAGTGCAACATTTTTCTGTTCTCAATTTCTTATATTTCTATTCCTATCTTTTTGATGTCCTTTATGAAACTTGATTTTTGATTTAATTTGTTCTTCTCTTCCTAGGTTCTCATGGTAGAAGCTTGTATTACTATCTTGAAACACTTAGGATTCCTTTTCTAATTTCATTATTTAACACAATAAATTTTCCTTTGATGGCATTCCATAACTTCTCATAAAAGTATGTTTTTTATTTTCATTCAACTCAAAATATTTTGTCTCAATCTATATACAAATTACAGCACAAAATGGATTAAAACTTAAATTGTAAGATCTGAAAATGTAAAATTATCAAAAGACAGGGAAAAAAAGTTTTAGCACTGATCTGGACAATCATTTGTTGAACATAATCGCCAAAGCACAGGAAATACAAGTAAAAAGAGAGAAATGGAACTACATCAAATTAAAAATCTTCTGCAAAGCAAAGCAAACAATCAACAGAGTAAAGGGTAAACCTATGGACTAGGACAAAACACTTGCAAACCACATGTCTGATAAGAAAGTAACACATAAGGAACTGAACTCAAAAAGAAGGAAACAATTGGATTTAAAACTAGCAAATGATCTGAGTACATACTTCTCAAAATATATACAAAATATATCAATGGATATAATCAAGTCCTCAACATCACCAATCATCATAGAAACAAAGATTAAAGCCATCATGAGATATGTCAAATTTATTAGAATGGTGACTATAAGAATATGTTTTGGGGAGAAAGTGGAGAAAAAAGAACCTTGCTCACACTGATGGGAATGCAAAAGACCACAGCTATTTTGGGAGTTACTCAAAATAGAGAGGCAAATTCAGCTTTTCCACTTATGTGTATCAGTATCTCAATGCAATGTCTGTAATCTCTGATTCATTTCAGTATTGTTCACAATAGCCACGATAGGTAATGAAGTTTTCATCCATTGAGGAATGGCTAAAGAAAGTGTACCATATACACACAATGGAATACTTTTCATCCTTTCAAAAGAAAGAAATCCTGTGTTTTGCAATAAAATGGAACCTGGAGGAAATTATGGTAAGTGAAATGACCTACACACAGGAGACAAATACTGTATGATCTCCCTTACATACAGCATCTGGCAAAGTTGAACTCACAGAAGCGAAGAATAAAATTACTGTGAGGTTGCAGAGGGCAGTAAGGTACATAATGTTAGTCAGAGGATACTAAATTTCCATGAGATAACAGAAATAAATTGAAGAGGTTTGAGTGACTAGAGCTAATAACAAAGTATTGTAGCCTTAAAAAACAATCACTGAGAGAGTAGGTTGTAAGTGTTAATCATGAAAAATGTAAGATGGGGGTGAATGTTACTAGAGTCTAAAGACAGAGATTCAACTTGGGGGTCCCAACAAACCAGGTTTAGCCTCCTGCCCAGAAATCAAACAGAAAAAGCAATGCTGAAAAGCAGAAGAGGAATTTAATATTTAGTATGACCAAATTGGGAAGAAAATGTCTTAGCTCTGTCTTCAAGACTACATGGGAATGGGAGCAAGAAGTATGTATGATCAGACTTTGGTATGGGTGATCATTATGGCAGTTCTGGTCACGCAGTCTTATTGGTATCAAGGAAGCTGCTAATATCCCTGGAACAATTTCCACTTGGTGCTGAGGAAATCGCTGCTGCTCAGTGGAGCACTCAGGGAACAATCTCTATTTGCTTCACAGGATGCTTATCTACCAGACCTGTCATCCTGAAAAGGGGTCAACTGATGACAGCTCTGCCTAGGAGACAGGCTCATCGCAGCGTCATCTGCCTCCAAGGGTGTGTTGGACCTGGAAGGTGTAGGACAATGACTGAAGACCTCGAGGCATCACTCCAAGGGTCTGGAACAGGACATTGTAAAAGCTGGCAGTTGGCAGTATGTTGAAAATGCCTTAGTCACTCTTATCTTGGGGTGTTCAGCCTTGAAGGGGAAGGATCAAGAGCTTTAAATGACACTGCTTTCATGATGAATATGCCTACATGAAGATGTGAGCAGGAATCTGACCCAAAGTTTAAGCAAAGAAGGCAGAAACAAAGACAGATGTCAAGCTTTATCCTGTTTCTAGTTACCCTGCATGCATCTGTAGGCCCAAGTGAACAGACAGTGCTTTTTTAGCAAAAACAGCATCTGAGTCCTTGTTAGGATGGAATATGAATAGCACACATTCATGTTGCACATGGTAGACATTTCAATTTAAAATACCATGTTGTACATAGTAAATATGTATAATTTTTATTTGCGACTTTAAAACTTAACTGTTTTTAACACAAATATATTACCTGATTTCCCTTGTGAATCCCTCATTAACTCACGGATTTTTAGAAGAGTTTTATGCAATTTCTAAAAATTCAGGGGTTTTTGAGATATTTTTACATTCCTTATTCATAGTCTATTTCTGTTAAGGTCCAAAACTCTATGTTGTATAAATTTAAAACTTTTAAATTTGCTAAGGTATTTTATAGCTCAAAATATGGTAAATCCCAATAAATATTCCTTACTAAAAATGAAAAAAATATGTATTCTGTTTTTGTGTTGGGTAAGAAATTCAATAAATATTAGATTGTTGTTAGCATCTTCCATTTGTCATGTACCTAATGCTTTTGTGTTGGTACAATAAATTACCAAGAAAGAGTCACTGAAACCTTCATATATACTTGAAGGGTTTTTTTTCTATTTTCCTTTCAATTCTATAGTTTCTGTGAAGCACTGTGAAGTTGTGTTGCTAGATGCATAAATATTGAAGTATATTATTCTAGGAGAATTTAACCTATCTTCATGTGATACCATGTGTTATCATTTCTTGTCTGAGTGACAATTTTAAACTTCTTATACTTAATGTTCACATGGCATTCTTTTGTCATTCTTTGGATCTGCATCTTTAAAATTCTTGTAAAGAACATACATATGTCTTACTTTTTAAAGATCCAATCTGACAATCTCTTTTTAATAAGGTTTCTCCTATCAAAGTTACGTCACAAAAAATAAAGCTACTACCTTTTATCCCTATTTGTTGCATCTGTTCTTTTGTTTCTTTTTTATATTCTTTGGGATTATTTCTTGATACTTCCTTTCAATTCTTCTTTCCTGTTTTATTAAATAGCAACACTTCCTCATATAATTAATTTATCCCATTTCATGAACAACACAAGGACCACTCAACTGTATGCTTCCATTTCTCCTCTTCCTGTACACTATTTTGCTATGCCTTTAAAATCTACTTATGTTAGAAACACCAACCCATAATACTAATCTTTTTGCTTTAAATAATTACTTACCTCCAAAATAAATTTTCAAGTAGAAAGGACATTTTGTACTTAGTCAAATATTTATTGCTTTGCCACATTTTATGGTTTTATGTAGATTTAAGTTTTCACAGGTTATTGTTTTCTTATATCTAATGAAGTTTTGAAAGTCTTTATTTACCTTCTTTTCTGAAAGCTATTTTGTTGTATATGGAGCTATGTGTTAGTAATTTTAGCATGTTAAAATGTCCATCCATTATTTCATGCCTCCTCCAATTTCTTAATTAACCCATAAAATTTTACATATTTGTAGGTTATCATTTAAGAGTTCAGTATATGCATACATTGGGTAATATTCAAATTGGGGTAATCATATCTATCTAATCAATTAATTATCATTTTTGTGATGAAATCATTCAAAATTCTGTCTTCTGGAGTCTTTGAAATATACCTACAGTACACTGGGAGCCTGACTATGAGTAACTAATGGGAAGGACAGTGATAATGGGAAGGTGAATATGACCTGAGACCATTACATGAATGTATGATGATAGCATAATGAAACGCATTAAAAACTGGAAAGGGGGAAGAAGATCTAGAAAGAGCCATAAGGGGAAATGAATTTGATTAAAGTACACTATTTGTGTGAATGAAACTATCACAATGAAACTCCTTTTGACAATTAGTATATGCTAATAAAAATAAACATCCAATATATTATAGTTATTTATAAATAACATGTTGCACACTCATACAGCTGAATTTATTTTCCTTATCTAACCATAACTTAATACTCATTGAACAACTTTTGGGCATTACTCCCTCTTCTTTGGGTTCCCCAAACTCTGGCATAACTATAATACTCTCACCTTCTATGAAGTAGATCTTTTTGGATTTCATATATATGTGAGATCATGTAATATTTGTCTTTCTATGAAAGATAACATAATGCTTGGTGTGGCAAATGATCATTTATATGGCTATATAGTATTCTTCTTTGTACATATACTACATTTTTTTTATCCATTCATCTGTTGATGGATACTTAGTTTGCTCCATTTCTTAACTTTTCTAAGTAGTACTGCAATGCATATGGATTGTAGATGTGTCTTGGATATACTCATGTTCCCTTTTCTCTATAGCCTTCCCAGTGCTTGCTATTTTTTTACAAAATATTTTGACAATATAATATTTTGATAATGTTATATTATCAAATGATAATGATAATTTAATAATAGTCATTCTAACTGGATGGAGTTGCTATTTCATTGTAGTTTTGATTTGAATTTCCCTGATAAGCATTTTTTCATGAATTCATTGATCATGTGCATGACTTCTTTTGAAAAATGTCTATTTTTCCTAATAAACATTTTTAATCGTGTTTTTGCTATTGAGTTGTTAGAGTTGAATATATATTCTGCATATTAATCCACTATCAGATTAAAATATAAAATACTCATCTTGTCTATTGAACACTTAGACTATTTAATCGTATATACATTGCATATAATAGAAAATTAAACTAAAGAAAAATAAAATCTCCATAACTTGCATTTTTAAGATTAATAATTAAATAAGAGTTCAAGTATAAATTTTAAGAATTATCACATCACACTCAGTTCCCAGTTTGAGTTACACTAGGCTAATCTTTAACTGTTAAAGGACTGACCCAGCTTGGAATACAAATGGCCTTCAAAATATAGCACATTAATAAATACATACAGCCCTGTTACCATATCTTCCCCAACCATGGGCCCCTCATTTTGATTTAAAAGAGTAGTGAAAGAAATTCCAAATTTGATTGCTTGGGCTGAAGTAAGAAAATAACAATTAGGAAAAAAAAAAGAAATGAAAGACCACATTATTTACCTGGATAAAAGGTGAGTTTTACAGAAACCAAACTAATGCCTCATCAGTGTGCTTGTTTGATGGAACAGTCAGGTGGGGAAAGTGAAGAAGGATATTGGGAGACAAGAACAAGCTCATCTCAGTTTCTGTGCTGCCTGGCCTGTCCACATGTCTCTTGCTTTCTTCAAGGACATCATGCTATTCTTTCTGGTCTTGCATTGCTGACATGTGAACATCACGTGATGTGTTATGCCTCTTTGTAAACCCAGGGATGTAATGTAGTAAGTGACTTGGTGTTCAAGTAAGGCTTGAATGCACCACAGCCTCATTATTGTACTGCCTTCTTAGGGCAATTCAGAAAACATTTCTGAAAATAACAATAACATCAATATACATATTAAAGCTATTATTAAAGACTAAATGTTTAATATGAAGTGTTACTGGTGCTCATGGAGGTATTCTGTGCAACATGGAAATGACTCAAGTGTGGTTTTCCTTCCTCCCACATTTCTTGCTTACCACTTAGTAGAAATGGCCTTTCTCTCTCCAAAACTTTTGGAAACAGGTTGCAAAGTCCTATGAAGGAGGACACAGGAGTGGACACAGAGGCATTCCCTCTCAGGACAGTTGTCCTAGTAGCATAAATTGAAGGTTCAGTTTTCTTTAGATTGTACCTTTTTTTATTAGCAGAAAAAATACGCATATTTTTTACTGTAAGAGAAAAGGCTTTTCTTTTATGGAACATAACATGCTGATTGAATAGAAACTATATACAACACGACTTTCAAGAATGATATTTAAAAATGATGTCTGGAAGGTGGAAAGTGTACATAACAATGCCTGACAACCAGAAAGAGAGCATATTGGGGGAAAACATTCACAGAACCACATTCCCTAATTTGGTCATAATCATCTGTTTTCATGTGAAGGTGTGTGAGCTTTGAAATCTGAAAACCCTCATTAAACTAAACAGGCTTTCAAAAAGGCTCAGAGGCATGTAAACTCAGCTGGGGCTTATTACAAGATCAGTTTTGTGTTCCTCAGAGGCTTTGTGGTTGTGAGCACAAACATCTGAGATAAGTGATTTCAAGCTCTCTCCAAGTTCGACTCTAACAAAACTGGCCACTGTGAAAATATGGCCAACAATCCCGGCACCGGTCCTAAACTCTTTAATTCTACCCTATGCTGGAAACCTCTAGGCTGCTGTGTGTATCATTTAGTATTTTTGACCACAGAGAACAATTTACTGTTACATTTCACTATAAATTCATGGCTGGCCAGACAATGTGCTCCAGAGTAGAATAAATACATGCTTTAATGAGTTACTGAAATGCAACCTGGCCAACGGGAAATCTAAGGAACAAAGAGTGCTTTTTCATAGTTGAGGCCAATCAGAAAGGGCAAGGCACAAGCAATACTAGAAACAAATTAATCCGTGACTCAGTCAAGTGGGAAAAAAGAGAAAAAGAAAGAGAGACAGGCCCAATTTAGGAAATGAAAATACTCAGCTGGTTTACTTTTGAAGAAATGTGAGGATTCAATGCATGTCCTGAAGTTAAATTACTCTGATCAACAAAGGAATATATCAGGCAGTTGAACACTACCGTTTTCTCATCAAGGGTAGTCCCCAAGTCATTTCCCAACAGCTTTTCCTGTCCACAATATTAGTGCCATGACTGGTCACCATTAATTAGCAAAGACATTAAAAAGGAGCTATCACTTCCCAGCTTAGTCAAAATATCCCCTAGAGGATGAATTCCCTTGTGATATATCATAAGAACTTTTGAAAATGTCTTATTTATAATATAATATAAATTTTTATATATAATATAAAAAATGAATATCGCTTAGAGCCATGCTCACATTTTAAAAAAGAAATCCTCTAACAGACTGAAATTTTAAGTATAATAATGAAAATAACAACAAATGCTTACTGAACTGTGTGATTATAATATAGAAAGCATTACAGCTAGAACAACAGCAAAAATTCATGGACAGCTCAAGGCCACTAACAGCATGAACCCCGACGCTTCACTTAGAAACACAAGTTATAAAGTGTAAATAAAAGGAAAAAGAGAGATGTAAATAATCTATATTACTTTAGGGGTGTATTTGTAAAATTTATTCAAATTTGGGCACAGCCTCTGTTATTAGGTGAATTCGTCTCCTGAAAAGGAAGCACATAAAAGGAATTCCATACTATGACCACACAGCTATGTGACTATTTCTGAATGTAATCAATATGAACTAGAAATCAGAAAAAAATTAACAACTTTTACTCCTTCTTTCCCTTTCCTCCCTTTCAGCTCTATGCCTCCTCTTATCACCACTCCTTGCTAAGCTAGGTAAAACTGAATGCCATTCCATCACACACTAACTGAAAACCACCATCTAACATAGTGGTTTATTATCTTTCCCGGGGGGTGGGGGAGGATTTTATGGCTGATTTTTTATTGAATTACTGGACTCTCAGTCCAAAAGATCTTTTTTATGAAGATAAATGTGTAATACCCATTTTCATAAAATATTTTTAAAGAATTTGAAAATTTCTTGTTTCTGAATGATGAAGGCCAAATAATATTGTACTGACATAAGAAGATTCATTATATATTTCCCAAACATGCTCAAGAGCAGAACTGTTCACTCCATAGTCAGAAACACATCTATTGTTTTACTTTGCTGTTTTCTGAACTGCGCTGTCTAAATTCAGAAAATCCTAACAAACAATCACAGCTTTCCCTTTTTTAATCTGTAGGTCCTTCTCTCATGCCAACACCTATAACCACAGGATTCTGCTCCATAAACACAGCACTTCCTTTGACAAGGGATGGCTGACACCAGCTTTCAGGTATCTTCTAAGTCCTAGCTTAGAGACACAGAAGTCACTCTAGTGAGGCCTCTTCTCTTAACCATTTTGCCAAAATCTTCCTGTTCCCATCCAAGGCAGAAGTTTAATTTATTCCACTCTTGCTTTCGTAAAGTCAGATCTAGATTCTGATCCATAGAATTTTTTGCCATTATCCTTTTCATTAAATTCAAAATCCTATTTAAAAAGTCATTATCATTCACAATCTTAAATTTTGAATTTACATACTATTTTTATTTAGAAATAAATAGGAAAAGATAACTAAAGAGTCTAAAAAAAATAAAGATTCTGAAGTCATTTATACTATAAGACACAGAAACATGCTTCACTTAATCTTTCAGAAATAAAACCAAACTATAAATTCTTCTTCCTTAAACATATAAATATGTTGATGTTTTGTATCAAATATTGCAAAAGACGTCTAATAAATTGTATGTTTATTCTTAAATCAGCAAACAGATTGACTCCGTATGATGTTTAATTTTTGGCTGAAAGTTCTCTTCTATTTTACTTTCAATAATATCATCTACTAAGAAGAAAAAAGTAATAAGAAATGACTAGACCATTAACTATAATGCAGGAACTTCTCAGTATAGACTTCCTGGAGATGGTTTCAATCATTATTTTGCTGTCTATAATTTTTAAGTTTAAAAAAAAGATCACATAAAGTAATTACAGGTAGTAATAATTAATGAGAGCTTCACCATTGTTGTGTAAAAACATATTATCCCCCATTACGCCTTGATAGAGTACTAGTTCATGATAATCATTAGAATTCTTAGTAGATACTCTGAAATTATTCACACAATAATAAGCATATGGATGCTTGCCTTAAAAATGAGACATACTTCACACTCTCTTATACTGACTAAACTGTCACTATAATATACTGTAAAATTTTATATTTCATAAGGCTACATGTTTATTTCTTTAATACATTAAAAAATAATGGATGCATATACTACATATGCATGTTGTCATATTCTTCATATGACAACTAAAAAGACTGAACCGAAGTTTATGAACTTTAGAGGAAAAAGCATCCAGTGGTTATTTACTTTACCTTCTCTTCTAGAGATGGGTAAATTAATGCCCAGACATATTAAAGAAAATATCCTAGTTGCAATGCTAGGCAGTAAGACAACAGGGGCTAGTAGCCTGGTCTCCTGACCCCTCAGTTCTGCTTCTCTTAGAAAGGAAATACAGGAAGCACAGCCAAACAGAAATCCCTGGACCCAGGCTTATAGGTTTTGAAGTTTAAATAAAACTAAGACAAATGACTTAATGAGCTTTGTAGCAGCTATTCCCTGACACAATGCAGTTCTTATGAGATAGGCAAGCCCCTAAGAGAGTGGTGGAAGTGAAAGTTAGCTGAAAACAGGAGAGATAGCTAACAGCAAGAGAAAACCTGGCTAGAGTCATTAAGAAAAGCGGCAATGTGCTTCTGAGCCAGGGCACAATCAAGGCAATTCTTCTTCTCCTGAACTCTTCTTCTTCAAGGTTGCTATGCTCCTGATCATTACACATACATCCAAAGCTAATTATCATTTTTAAGGTAATTCCCTACAGTAAAAAAAAAGGAGATGGCTTATTTATTTATTAATTTATTTTACTGAAGAATGATTTATTTTTAACTGACCTTCATAAACCAGCAAACTGTTTTATGTATTGTCAAAACCATCTGAGGTTCAGCACCATCTTTAAGTTTAACAAAAATACTCTGTTACAAATCTGTACTATTAATATTAGCACTGTCTGGTCATTGGTTCATATATGTTAATGTTAAAATACAGTTTTAATTTAATGGAAAATTATACTTCATGTATCTTGAAATCCAAACACAAACTACAATGTTCTAGGAGTTATCTTTCAATTAATACCATGGTGAAGATGGTAGTCAAATACACGTACATAAATTTTTCCAAATAAGAGTACATTTTATTTTAGAAAATTACTTTGAAATCTTGTTAAATATGTTACTGAAGACTATACAAATGCTTCTTTTTATGTAACAGACAAATAATTCTACAGATATTAAATATAGTTTTCATAATATAGAATAATCCTTTGAATATGGAACTATACATATAGAAGCACTGATAGGAAGATTAGGAAGAGTTTGGAAGTAAAACACTTTTTTCTTATCAAAGATATCTGAATGATAACAAGGAATGCATATGAATAGCCTATAAATCACTTTCGTGTAGCTGAGAAGCAACTTGAAAGAGGAAAGATACATTTCGGTTCACAATTTCAGAGGGTTCAGCCCCTGGTTGCTTTGCTTCATGTGTTTGGGCAGAACATCATGGCAGTGGGAGCGCATGGGAGATGAGGCTGTTTACCTCATGGCAGAGGGGAAGCAGAGAGCAAGGAAGACACTACAGACCAGGTACAACTTTCAAGGGCACAACTCAGTGACCTACTTCTTCCAGCTTGGTCAAACCTCCTACCATTTCTAGAAGTTCCCCAAATAGTACCATCAGCTGAGAACCAAGTCTCCCACACATGAGCCTTGGAGGATGAGGAAACACTTCATATCCAAACCACAACAAATAGTGTCTTTTCATGTAGAATTGGTAAATGGATGGCACAAAGCAGTTACTGTGAGGGGTGGAGAGGCTTTTGCTCTATTCAGATGGAAAGCAGAAAAGAGCAGCTTTCTTCCTGTTGGCTTCCCTGAGCTCCTGAATGCCAGAGGCTTATGGGCTAAACTTTTAAAGCTCAGGCTATAATTCTCAGCC